AACATGATATGACTCCCATGCACCTGGACACCATGCATGAAGCAAGGTCTGTGGCTTGACAAACAACAACAACAACAGCAACGACAACAAAACCTTATTAATAAACAAATAAAATTACAAAAGTATTGCCCCCAGCAAGCAAGGCTATTCGAGACAGGACAATGCATGTAAAATCTAAGAAATAAAGACTAAGAGGCTATTAACTAAGGAAAGTTTACAGTTAGTTTAATACAAATAAATGAAATAAAAATCGTAATATGGATGAGGACTAGATAACAGACTAAAGAAAAACAGAATTAAACAAATAAATTGTAAGTTAGATTGGTTAATAGTTAGTTACTTTTGACAAAATGGAAGCACTATTAGATGACTTTAAAATTATTTCATTTTCCCCTCAAATCCCATGATTGTTACTCTAAGACTGTTAAAATGAGAGAGGATGGGACTTGACCGGAAGGTTTTTGCATGCTAAACAGCATATTGTGATTTTTCAAAGATGTTGTACGATAGCATGTACTGATATTATAAAAATTAATTTGCTTCAGCTAGTTGTTGAATTTGCTAAATAAACCCAAATTGTTTGCGTGTAGCACCGTATTTTTGTACCAGTGGTATTGTTTATGATAATGAGGTTGTTGTGCAAAAAAAGGTTAAAAATAGTACTGATAAATTAAAATCGAACAATGTTTTTGTGTTATCAGAAAAGTAACTTTTTTAACTGTGAAAATGGCGTCACAATGCCACACAGCGTTTTTTGATTTTGTATTAAAAAAATACCATTAGATTCGCAAAATTGTTGTTTGGGTAGTTCTTCATGAAAACACTACTTTTGAATTTTTTTTGTGCACGATTTGCATGTGCAATGCAGGTCAATTTGTCAAAAATTTGCATACTGAGCAAATTTGGGCAAACCTTCAATATTGGCTAAAGTATCCTTTATACTTTTGTCTTTCATCATGTTCAGGAATTTGGCAGTGAGAGAGGTGAGTTGGAAGGTCTCTTTAATCAGAGAAAAAGCTACAAGTTCTAGTGCAAGCCTCCTACCAGCAATTGCACGTATAGTTCATGAATGAAAAGAGCAAAAGATAATTAACATGATATGACTCCCATGCACCTGGACACCATGCATGAAGCAAGGTCTGTGGCTTGACAAACAACAACAACAACAGCAACGACAACAAAACCTTATTAATAAACAAATAAAATTACAAAAGTATTGCCCGCAGCTAGCAAGGCTATTCGAGACAGGACAATGCATGTAAAATCTAAGAAATAAAGACTAAGGCTATTAACTAAGGAAAGTTTACAGTTACAAATAAATGAAATAAAAATCGTAATATGGGTGAGGACTAGATAACAGACTAAAGGAAAAAGAATTAAATAAATAAATTGTAAGTTAATTAGATTGGTTAATAGTTAGTTACTTTTGACAAAATGGAAGCACTATTAGATAATTATTTCATTTTCCCCTCAAATCCCATGATTGTTACTCTAAGACTGTTAAAATGAGTGAGGATGGGACTTGACCGGAAGGTTTTTGCATGCTAAACAGCATAATTATTGTAATTTTTCAAAGATGTTGTACAATAGCATGTACTGATATTATAGAAAATTAATTTGCTTGAGCTAGGTGTTGAATTTGCTAAATAAACCCAAATAATTTGTTTGTGTGCAGCACCAGTGCTATTGTTTATGATAATGAGGTTGTTGTGCAAAAACAGGTTAAAAATAGTACTGATAAATTAAAATCGAACAATGTTTTTGTGTCATCAGAAAAGAAACTTTTTTAACCGTGAAAATGGCGTCACAATGCCACAAACCCTTTTTTTGATTTTATCCATATTATTTTTTGATTTTGTATTAAAAAAATACCATTAGATTCTCAAAATTGTTGTTTGGGTAGTACTTCATGAAAACACTACTTTTGCATTTTTTTTGTGCACGATTTGCATGTGCAATGCAGGTCAATTTGTGGAAAATTTGCATACTCAGCAAATTTGGGCAAACCTTCAACATTGGCTAAAGTATCCTTTATACTTAAATTGTCTTTCGTTACCTTCAGGAATTTGGCAGTGAGAGAGGTGAGTTGGAAGGTCTCTTTAATCAGAGAAAAAGCTACAAGTTCTAGTGCAAGCCTCCTACCAGCAATTGCACGTATAGTTCATGAATGAAAAGAGCAAAAGATAATGTGAACTTCAGGTTTACATGAAGTTCTACCCAGGCGGCAATTTGAGAATATTATGGCATTTTTCACAGTGGCCTATAAAATGAAACCTGTGCTCATTAGGATGTTTTTGTAAAGATGTAATTTATGATACATGTTACATCATCTCTCAATTACAGCTCAGCATTTCTGCCAAGACCACCTGTGGTAACAATAATGGGCCATGTTGACCATGGCAAAACAACGCTACTAGACACTTTACGAAAGTCATCTGTTGCTGCTGGAGAAGCTGGGGGAATAACTCAGCATATTGGTGCATTTTCAGGTAAAATAAAAGACAACAACAATGACAAATTTGATTATTATTTTGTTACATCTGGGCAGTAAATACTGTCTGAAATTACCAATTTACCAACTGCTAAAAATGTAAGTAGTAACTAACAAATTAAAGAAAGAAATGTTTAACAATTACCATGAATTGAATGACATTAGAAAGAAAGACTTGGTTGAAAAAAAAAACTTCTTTGATTGACACTATCCACAAGAAGCACAGGTTAATTGTGGTAGGCAGTGACAACAGTTTATAAAAAGCCTACGTGTAGAATAAGTTTAAGGTGAAAATGTGTAGAAAGTTTACATTTTAGAGGATCTGAGTGCCCCTCTGTTTTCTAAGTGTACAAAATTCATTTCATATGTGATTCCGGTGAAAGGAAACTTACTGTCAGCCCTGAATTTACATTGATATTTATACTCTTAGGCCCTGTTCAAACGTGAAACTTTTCGTGTACCGAACTTAATCCCTCAATTAAGTACATGAAAAGATCAACGTTTGAGTCAATTGAGTCCAACATTATTTTATTTGGGCTGACCCATGAATTAAGATCGAGTGGCCCACATGGTAATTTCAACTGTGGAGCGTCTCAGTAACTTCAAACATCAAACTTTTAATAGCATATTTAATTAGCATAATTTATTTTCACTGGTAAGCACTTTAGATGATTGTAATGAATCGAGTATGACTATTAAATTTGATTTTTATTTTCATGTTTTATAGTCCAAGTCCCTGGTGCAGAGAAGACAATAACATTTATTGATACTCCTGGTCACGCAGCATTTGAAACCATGCGGGCTAGAGGAGCTAATATTACAGATGTGGTTGTTCTTGTGGTGGCAGCAGATGAGGGTGTCAAACCACAGACTGTGGAATCCATAAAGCATGCCACTAATGCAAGAGGTATTAGACCATCAGTACAAAGGAGTCCATGAAATTAAATGAATGTGCGCTATTTCAGTCTTAGATTTAAATCTTTTCTGATATGAAAAGAAAAAAATAAAAATAATATATGGTCCTGTCAGAGAAGTGTGAACTGCCTCAATAGAGTTTAGCTTTTGGTAAATGGTCACCTTTAAGGATCGACATCATCTAACTCAAAAGTTATTGTGTAGAACCACTATAGAATGGTATAAAACTCAAACTACATCAGACGAATGTTAATTACGATTAGCAAGATTGTTTTCTCAGGAGTTGACAGTTTTAGGATTTGATTTTGTAAGGTGTTATGTTAAAATTAGAACCACAGTCTGTGGGCGAAAAGAAGTACATGTAGTTGAAATCATAACTTGCTCAAAAAACATTCAGCTGATACTGTAGCTTTCATTTCATTGTGTACTTTAAATTCAGAGTTATGAATAATTAATGTGGGATTCAACATTTTGAATCGGATTTTAAACTGTGTATTCTTTGTTACCTGCAGTTCCAATAATTGTGGCAATTAATAAAATAGACAAGCCAAGAATCAATGTGGTATGTTGGAAAATGATATAGAAAAAAACTGATTATTGTAATAATATGTTGGTATAGACTGTTGAATTGTGATGTTGTTTGCAAAGTTTGAATTTTGTAGAATTAATAAGTCATGCACAAAATTACCACGTTCATTAACATTTTCTGATAATAATATGCAGAAACAAGTCAAGCAGCAGCTTCTTCAACATGGAATACAACTTGAGGAATTTGGAGGAGATATTCAGGCAGTTGAAGTGTCAGCCTTAAAGGTACTAGATCCACACTGGTTTTCACCATTTTACAGAAACCGTTCAGACTTTTCATAATAAACATATTTTTCAATAAAAAAAAACTTTCCAAGTTGAAATCTGGAAAATATATTGGACAATTTTTTTCAAGCTTTAGAAGGTGCTGTAATTATAATGGTCTACATTTTGAACCACTCATTTCAGCAGACGTTCTTTGGGGAGGATTGCGTGACAAGTCAAAATAATGTCTGCTGGGAAGCTAATCCATGTGTGACCACCTACCATAACCAACCACGTACCTGTTGTACAACCTGTAGTTAATTTTTAATCTCAGGGAATTCTTCTTTTTCTTTTGTGTTTGGGTTTGGTAATGTATGCTAATGAAGTTGAAGCAAAGGAAAAATAAAAAATTACCTGAGATAAAAAATTAACTACAACATACCCATACACCAAAAATCTTAAGCCCTTTAAGCCCAATATCCACTTAGAAATTTTCCGGACTGATCTCTTTACATTAACTTGAAAAATTAGTTGAGAGAATTATATTTTGTTGACCGGTCAAACTACTTTCCTTTTGGTGATCACTAATTTTTATTAATTCTTGTAACCTCTCTGTTACAGAGGGGCACTCTTGACTAGGAATTAGCTGACATATATTTCCATTAACAGATTTTATATTAAACCACCATTTCTTTTCTTCTTGAAGGGAACCAATCTTGATGGACTGTTAGAAGCAATCACAACCCTCGCAGAATTGCATGATCTGAAGGCTAAGAGAGATGGTCTTGCAGAAGGAGTTGTTCTGGAGTCAAGAAAGGACAAGGGGAAAGGGTACATCTTGACAAATTAATATACAGGCTTATATACTGAAGACCTTAATACCACTTGCTGAAGTTAGGCATACGTTTATTTTTTGTGAAAGTCCAGGCTGGGAAGACTGGAACAGGTGTATGCAGTATGCCCAATGTTGATCACATACATTAGTACTATCATTACTCCATGACAATTACTGTCCGATGTTTTTTCAGTGCTGTAGCAACAGTTCTTGTTAAACATGGAACCTTAAAGAAAGGCAGCATTGTTCTTGCTGATGACACCTTTGCTAAGGTAACACTTTATATTAAACCGCACTTGTCTTAATTCATGGTTGTTAACAGCTTTCAGTGAAGTGATTAGGTCATGCAGCCAAGAGAAATGCTAGATTTCTAATTTGGAGTCCAGCTTTGACCACTACATGTGTAGCTGACTTTGTTTCGTGGTAGTTTCAAGCTCAACTCCCTCCATTGTCATGCTTGTAAATAGCCAACTGGTAGGCCTCCTGCCGGAGGATTCTAACTCTAAAATGTAACATTGTTATGTTTTAGTTTAAATTGTTTGTTTCCAGGACAGTAGACAGATCAGATGTAAAAGTAGAGGGCTTGGCAATCAATCGCTGAAGGCGATTTCAGGCTTTCACTCTCTCACTGTACCCTTTTTCCCTAAAGAGGCAGCTCAAAATTCAAAGTAGCCAATTTTTTAGCCACTCGCTGGCACTTAATGAGAATCCTGTGTTTTAGTTGTTTGCACCGTCCAACTAAGCATGATTTTGTGCAGCAGATACTGCCAAGAGAAAATAAAGATTTATTATCTCTACACTATTATTGTTACTTTCGTCACCATCATCATCATTGTATCAATAATATTTTGGCTGTCTCTGATAGGTGCGCATGATGTATGACAGTCAAGGCAAAGTTTTGTCACAAGCCACACCCTCCATCCCTGTGGAGGTGTTAGGGTGGAGAGAACTGCCTTCAGCAGGGGATGAAGTTTTTCAGGTCACGTCAGAGGTGAATACTGTCATGAAGTCACTTTTTCTGCCATTTCTCTTTGTAGGGCGTTCTTAAGCAAAAGAGTTTGGTGATGTCTCTGACCTCACAGACAACAACAGAGAGTTTGTTTTGTTTTTCACTTTTGTTGTTGTTGTTGTTTTTTTTGCTTGGGGACACCTCTGTTTGTCATGTGCAGTAAATTATTGAAAGCTTTCGTAAACCATCAGAGTAATCAACATCAACTCTTTCATAGCATTGAAAATTACTTTAATAGGTAATGAGAATTAATAAAATGATCACCTTCAAGACTGCGTATCAGGATCAGGGATTAGGGAATTTGTATTGGGGTGTGTTACAGGTTGAAATTACATTCAGGTTAAAAATATTTTACCTAGGTTAATTCTCAATTTTCCTGTTAAATTATTCATGCATTTCGGGCTAGTAGACAATGGAAATTGAGAATCAACCTAGTTTAGAAAATTTTATCCTGAGAAAGAAAGAAAGTGACTAAGTTGAGATTGCTAAAATTACATATTTGCCCAAAAGTAACTATAAAGATGGCCACAGAATAGACTGTAATGGGGTAGGGGCTCTGAGAGGCCAGCGGCACACACCAGCAAAAATTAACCCATGTACCCCCCCACCCCAGTCCCAAAGGTGTCCATCTTACAGAGAGTTGACGGTAAAGGGAAAGTTATTTTCTTACCTAGCACATATTTTAACCATTTTGGATTATTTTTTCACAGCAAGAGGCTCATGACTTTATAAACAAGAGAAAATCAGTACTTCATGAAAACAGACTATCATCAGATCTTGGGCATAATTTGTTAGAGGACGTTGAGCTCACTTACAAAGGAGATCCTGCACCAAAGGAACCAAACAGAATTTATGATTCTTCTGACAAGTTAAATGTAGTTATAAAAGGTTGGTTTGTTCATATGACTGTAGTTACAATGAGGGACAAACGTGTTGACACACTTCAGTAAAATGGCCCCTTTTTGCATAGTGGATATACTTATCCCCTTCCCCTGTCTACCCCAGCCCCTTCCCCCCAAAATCAATGTTGAATTTTGGACTCTCAAGTCTTTTTTTTACTTCAGACAACATTGATTCAGGGGGTGAGGGGAGTTACGGCATTTAAAAGAAATGAAATAATGAATGAATTAAATGTTTGTTAAAAGCACCCGTTTTAAACAAGTGTGTCAACTACTTTTGTCCCTGGTTGTAGCTAAGAAATAAACAGGTCATCCAGATTTGTTAGCAAGGTGTGAGAAATTGTCCTTGATGTATGAGATCGATGTCTTCAGTCCGCAGGTTAGAGACTCATGGCGTACGAGAGCTGGCACTGATATAAAATATCATTTTCTTAGCTACACATGCACTGAATACTGAAGTATTTTCTTTCCTGTGTAGGTGATGTTGATGGTTCAATAGAAGCCATCAATGATGCTCTACAAACTTATAATTCACGGAAAATTTCCCTAAATGTTTTGTGCGCTGAGGTAGGAGCAGTCAGTGAAAATGATATCAAACTAGCAGACACCTTTAAAGGTAAGTTTATCTAGCTGCATACCTAGTCTGAGAAAACAGCAAACATTTCATGATGCCACCTTTGGATTTCCCCTAGAATGACTTCGGAGAAACCAGTGTAGAAATTCCATACTGCACACTTTGTGAGTGCCTAGTTTTCAGTGTCGTACCTCCAAAAATAAAAATCGAAACCATTTGACTGATGAAGTCAAGAATCTGGGGGTTGAAAGTAGATACATTCATTTGTAATAACAATATATAGCAATCCAAGGGAATCAAAGAAAGAAAATGTTGCTAATGCTTCTTGCAAGTGTATTGAATTTCAATGGGGACAGATGGAAATAGTTTTTGCTTGAAATATCTATATAACGAAGTCATAACAGTTCATCAGTGGGATAATCACTCAAATACGGTTGGAAATGAATGCCTTAATAACCAGATTGTTGATTAAAGTTTTCCATCACATGTCTATTGTCTTTGAAAGTTAATGTTTTTATTTGTCATTTAAACAATTAGGTGTGGTATTTGGCTTTAATGTAAAGATGTCAAAGAAAACACAGTCCTTTGCAAAACAGCTTGGTATCAGTGTTAAACACCACAAGATTATTTACAAGTTGCTAGAGGATATCAAGGTTTGTGTGAGACAGTGCATGAACAATACTTTATTTCAGTCTACTGACAAAGGAAGACACCATACACAGTAAAAGAATTTGTCAAAACTTTTCTGCTAAGGGGTTCTTGAAGCCAGGACTATAGACCCAACTTAGCAAACCTTAGTTTGTTTTTGTAAACATCATTCTGCTCCAGGGCCAGGTTGTTCAAAGCTGGGTAAAGAAAACCCAGGGTTGGTCTGAAATTTGAATTCTGATATGAAAACTTAAATAGCGAGTTCAGTTTAATTCTCTTTGTCTACAATTTTTTGAGAGGATGCTTCAAATAAAATAGAGAAAATTATATTGGAGAAATTGCTTTTGAGAAAAAGAATAAGAGACTTGGATTAAAATTTAACCCTAGGTCAGCACTATCAGCTATCAAAGGGCCCAATAGTAAAAGAAAGTTGAAATAAAGTCGTCAGTACAGCTTCTTTCCTTGTACTTCATCATTATACTCTCATGAAGAGTCACTACCATGATGGTTATTGCCCTTAAATTTTGTAAATTTTGAATTTCTTTAAGAATTGTTGATCATGAGAAGCATTTCTTCATTTGTGTTTCATCCAAATTCCAGACCCCATGAAGTCAGTCTTGATAATCTTGGCTGCATCTCATAATGGATAAAATATGAAAAGATAATGTGGAAAATTGTTCCGCCCCAGTTGTTCAAAAGGTGGATTACACTATTCACTGGATAAATCTCTATCCTCTGAAGAGCCCAACTGGTTTCCCTAATACTTGTACTTATCCGCTGGATAGTGATTTAACCTGTGAATAGCACTCTCCAACATCTGAACAGTGTGGGCCTGCTTGTCACTGCATGTGCATGAACTGAAGTGCAAGCAGGTAAAGGCTAACCCTTAACTCCCAGAGTACCATAAATAGTGCCAGTTAAAGTTGATTAGATCACCAATTGCAGTGTTCACTTTAAATACCTTGCATTCAGGATGAGCTTTCAAACAGACTTCCTCCATCTAAAGAAGAAACAGTCACTGGTGAAGCATTAGTACGTAAAGTGTTTCACCTTACTGGCATGCGCAAGGCTGTGGTGGCTGGCTGCAGAGTGAAAATGGGGAGCCTTGCTCGGGATAGCGTTTACAGAATAACAAGGAATGGCGAGGTTATCTTTGATGGTAAGTGGGTATCTTTTTCTTACATTGTTCAAACCTGGAATTCTTTTGGAATTACATGCACCTGGTAATTATTATTCGGTCTGTAATCATACGAGTGGTTAACAAACGCGGGAGTCCGATTTGTTTAATCACGAGTATGATTACAGACCGAACTGGACAACACGAAGTTCTGTGACCAATTAATCATAACTTTAACAAAATTTGTGATATATTAGGCTCTTTTTTTTAATCAAAACACAAGAAATTCCGAGATGTTTTTTGCTGGCAGTGAAAAAAAAAAAGCCATTTAATTTTTCTTTGTAATTGGCACTGAAAAGCCCCTTTGGGGAAGTGGTCAATAAACGTATGTATGTATGTATGTATGTAATGACTTCTGAGAAATGAGTGTATCAGTACCTAGTTTTCTGTGTCATACTTCCAAAAATAAAAATTGAAACCATTTGACTGATGAAGTCAAGAATCTAGGGGTTGAAAGTAGATAGATTCATTTGTAATAACAATATATAGCAATCCAAGGGAATCAAAGGAAGAAAATGTTGTTAATGCTTCTTGCAAGTGTATTGAATTTCAAAGGGGACAGATGGAAATAGTTTTTGCTTGAAATATCTATATAACGAAGTCATAGCAGTTCATCAGTTGGATAATCACTCAAATAGGGTTGGAAATGAATGCCTTAATAACTAGATTGTTGATTAAAGCTTTCCATCACATGTCTATTGTCTTTAAAAGTTAATGTTTTTATTTTCATTTAAACAATTAGGTGTGGTATTTGGCTTTAATGTAAAGATGTCAAAGAAAACACAGACCTTTGCAAAACAGCTTGGTATCAGTGTTAAACACCACAAGATTATTTACAAGCTGCTAGAGGATATCAAGGTTTGTATGGAATGACAGTGCATGAACAATACTTTATTCCAGTCTACTGACAAAGGAAGACACCATACACAGTAAAAGAATTTGTGTCAAAACTTTTCTGCTAAGGGGTTCTTGAAGCCAGGACTATAGACCCAACTTAGCAAACCTTAGTTTGTTTTTGTAAACATCATTCTGCTCCAGGGCCAGGTTGTTCAAAGCTGGGTAAAGAAATCCCAGGGTTGGTCTGAAATTTGAATTCTGATATGAAAACTTAAATAGAGAGTTCAGTTTAATTCTCTTTGTCTACAATTTTTTGAGAGGATGCTTCAAATAAAATAGAGAAAATTATATTGGAGAAATTGCTTTTGAGAAAAAGAATAAGAGACCTGGATTAAAATTTAACCCCAGGTCAGCACTAATCGGCCATCGAAGGGCCCAGTAGTAAAAGAAAGTTGAAACAAAGTTGTCAGTACAGCTTCTTTCCTTGTACTTCATCATTATACTCTCATGAAGAGTCACTGCCATGATGGTTATTGCCCTCTAAATTTTGTAAATTTTGAATTTCTTTAAGAATTGTTGATCATGAGAAGCATTTCTTCATTTGTGTTTCATCGAAATTCCAGACCCCATGAATTTAGTCTTAATAATCTTGGATGCACCTCATAACATGATAAAATATGAATAGATAATGTGGAAAATTGTTCCGCCCCATGCCAGTTGTTCAAAAGGTGGATTACACTATTCACTGGATAAATCTCTATCCTCTGAATAGCCCAATTGGTTTTCCTAATACTTGTACTTATCCGCTGGTTAGTGATTTATCCCGTGAATAGCACTATCCAACATCTGAACACCGTGGGCCTGCTTGTCACTGCATGTGCATGAAATGAAGTGCAAGCAGGTAGAGGCTAACCCTTAACTCCTAAAGTGCCATAAATAGTGCCGTTTTAAGTTGATTAGATAACAGATTGCAGTGTTCATTGTACCTTGCATTCAGGATGAGCTTTCAAACAGACTTCCTCCATCTAAAGAAGAAACAGTCACTGGTGAAGCATTAGTACGTAAAGTGTTTCACCTTACAGGCATGCGCAAGGCTGTGGTGGCTGGCTGCAGAGTGAAAATGGGGAGCCTTGCTCGGGATAGCTTATACAGAATAACAAGGAATGGCAAGGTTATCTTTGATGGTGAGTGGGTATCTTACATTGTTCAAACCTGCAATTCTTTTGGAATTACATGTACCTGGTAATCTTCAGGAGACTGGCACTAGCATTGCCATCTCCTAAAGGAAAATTGCTGCTTTATCCCCAGTTGCTCACTACCACTATTTTGGGGGATATTATTTTGAGTAAAGCAGTGACTGTGAGGACAGCAACAAGAATGGCAAAAAAGTGTACATTTAGATAAGCAAAGCAACAACTTCGCAGGTGCATCACACTTTTTTGTACTTTTTTTGCCTCGTAGTGCCACCCCGACGTGAAACTGCCCAATTTCATGTTTTCTGGAGACCATTACACGAGACATTTTTTTTATTCTTTTTCAAAACTTTGATACAGTCCTTTAGAATTCATCTCCTGAAAAAATTCACCAACATTTGACATTTGAATCAGGGTGAATTCTTTTTTAAGAGATGTTTTCACTGCGGTCATCATCGTTGTTGTTTAATGCTCCCTAATTATTAAGGAAAGTGGGATGAAAGGAGTGATGGGAAGTGGAGAAAAAAACTTTCCCCTTCTCTCTTTTTCCTTCCCATCACTCTGCTCTTGTGCTCTGTGCTTGCCCCTCTCATGCCTCTCACTTGTCTCCCGCTCTCATGCCTCTTGCTTGTCTACTAAGCATTGGGAAAGCTTGTGAAGAAGGCAGGGAAAATTGCCCTTAGAACCAAACCTGGCCTGTATAAAGCACATAAAATTATTTCATGCACTGATGGTTGAATGTGTGAGGTCAATAAGTAATGATAACAGGACTGAGTGAAGTCCAATTCGGTCTGTAATCATACGAGTGGTTAACAAACGCGGGAGTCCGATTTGTTTAATCACGAGTATGATTACAGACCGAACTGGACGACACGAAGTTCTGTGACCAATTAATCATAACTTTAACAAAATTTGTGATATATTAGGCTCTTTTTTTTAATCAAAACACAAGAAATTCCGAGATGTTTTTTGCTGGCAGTGAAAAAAAAAAAGCCATTTAAGCGTGCACATGATGGCGTGTACTGTCCACGTACTTAGGTATGACGCGTACTGTCCTATTTAACTGTCCTATTAAGGCTGAAATCAGGGCAGTTAATAGCCAATCAGATTTAAGAATTTTGTTATAGTTATGATTAATATAATAATAATAATAATAATAATAATAATAATAATAATAATAATAATATTTAAAGAGGGAGCCCAACTCGCCTTGGTGGTTTTCAGTGGGGCCCTCATTTCTAAAATTTCCCTCAATTCCTAAAAGTCTGGAAGCCATATCTCAGGAATTCCTATCAGTGCCTCAGGAAATTGTTTGGAGGACAATATCCTTCAAATTGAGTGCTTGGAGGTTCCCTAAATTTTTAGTGTCTTGAATTTGAACCCCATGGAATGTCGAATCAGAGACCAACACATGGGTTATCCCCCAGAAATTCTTGATTTCATATCTCTGGGAACCACTTGAGGTCATACCCAAACAATTTATTGGACAGACCAATTTTCCATAGATTCTTGAGGTAATTGTGAAAACTCAGGGAACCCCAGCCAAAGAGAATACCATTATATGGTCAGGCAAACACTCCTAATGTTTGTTTCTCAAGGGATCTTCAGGAATACTGTTCAATTTTGTCAGTCAAATATATTTTCAAAGTGATGAATATGATGCCTTTTTTCTTTCAAAAGGAAAGTTATCAACCATGAAGCGTGGACAGGATGACATTAGCCAGGCCAAAAGAGAAACAGAATGTGGCTTATCATTTGAAAAATTCACAGATGTTGAAGAAGGAGATGTTGTACAGTGCTACACTATAACTGTGACAAAACAACCTATTGATTGGGATTGGGGTTTCTGATAAGCTAGCTTGTTCTTTCTTACAGTGAAAATAATCTTCCTGGGACAAATAAATATGAAATACTCGTGTACATATTATTATTGTTGATAATGTTCACCAATGAGCTGGAAAGCTTGGTATGCTCTTGTGGTTTATGGTGGATTAATTTATAAGACAGTTTTAATCATTTCTTGCAAGAAACAGTTTTTAAAAAGTTTTATTCGAACTGTCTGTAATGAACAGAACCCTCATTAAAATGAATGTTAAGTCTCTGGGGTTTTTTGTTTTTTTGTTTTGGTCTCCTAAGGTAGAAAGCTAAGACGATAAACCACCCCTCAGTCATTTATTGACTTCAAGTCATTCAAACATTTAAGTAATATTTTAAATATGTCATCTGTAAAATATAGTTATTTTGTAAGGCAAGAGAACAAAGGTTGTTTTCACAAATTGAGTTTATTACTCATTGCTACCCAAGTTGCTCATCTTGTACAATAATATAAAATATATAATTTAAATACGCACAATAAACTTTAATAATTATAATAGTTGACAAAAAGTGAAATGTGGTTGGAAACCATTCAAACCTCAAAATAAATATTGTGAAAATTCTTAAGCTAAGCTTTTACCAATATCACTCTTTAATAAAGCTCGACACAAAAACGTCTAAAACATTAACAATAACTTTATAACACTGCTTCTGAAACTGAAAAAACTGAACCATTAAATAGCTAAGTGATTTGCTTCTCAAACTGAAAAAAACTGAACCATTAAATAACAAAATGATTTGCAACAGTTTTAAATAAGAGTATATATTAACCTACTAAATCAACCTCTGTAGACAATTAAAATTTTATGAAATAAATAATCTATACTATTATTCAATATAATTATATTATGTGTAGAAGCTGCAAAATGGCCTCAGTGACCAGCATCAGTTTTCTCCTAACAGTATCGATACATTATCAAAAGGAAAGGTAACGAGTCCTGTTAAAATGATCATGTAAGGGAGAATTATATGATCTTTTGTCAAATTCTCCAAACCAATTCTTTAAGTAAATTTATGGAAATCAGTTTGGAGAATTTGAATCTGCATGTTCAGTTTTGCATGAACAGCTAAAAATATGTTGTAAACTCAAATGGTTTTTGACTCAACCAAGAATGTATGCAACCAAAAAACCTACTGTAAAACGCACTTGATTTCACTTGATGGTAAAAACATTGTCACCTTAAAAAACGTAAACTATGAATAATGAGAGGGCTTCCTGGGAAGTGCACATGGTAACATTGAAGTGCATTTTCCATTATAATCACATAAACACACACTTATGAACTTTATGGCTTCAGTGTTTCTTCAGTTATGGCATAGATGAAACATGGGCAGAACATGTTTTGTGGCTCCTTAATTTGTTGGTGTCACCTGAGAAAAAAATAATTTTTATTGCCAAAACGACTGAAACCCTTTCAATCTTGAGAGAGTGAATTTGTATAAGGAGCTTGTGATAAGGAAGGGTAACAGGACAGCATATTATAAAGAGCATGCTAATAAGATTATACCCATAAATCCATTGGGTCTAATAGTTTCAAGTTTACACCTTAGATGTGACAACATTTTCAAACTATGTACACTCAACTGAAAAATATTTGAATTATTCAAATAACTATTTTTCACTTGAGCGTACATTGGGAACCAAGGCTAGGATGCTAGACTAGCCAGCAGAACAGGTGCTATTTTTTTCACGTTTTTCAGGTGAGCCCAAAGCGGATGTGGAGGGTGAGACACCCAGGACAGGGAAGGTGTAGAAAATAATTGCCCTCTTTCAGTTATTTTTTCTGTGTGTTCCCCTGTCACACTTGTCTTCCACTCCATGTCTGCTTCTTGTTTGCCTACAAAATGCAAAGAAGCACCTGTTCTACAGGCTTGAACTAGAAACTAATAAACTCTACTTGTAAGATGAATTGGCTCACACAGCATCTTGCATTTGGCCTTCAAAATTGTGGTCTTAATTACCGACCCTTGCAAACAAAAAGATTGAATATAATGATTACAGTTTCTATGGAAAGTTTCATCACAACAATCTCTATTCATGAATGCCATTGGAAAAATTTCATCTATGATCTTATCCTAAACAAAAAACATTGCATAAGCATCATGTTCTTAATTTTTTAAAACAAAGGTACAATGAAACAGCACAGGTTTGATAATCTAGATCCAAGACAAAACAAAGAGACTCAGTTAATGGCAACATAAAAATATAATTTAACAATAATAATATTAGTGACAAATTTTGTTATTGGTGGAATTTAATTTGACATCTGAATTGTGATCACATGAAAGAATGTGACTGTAATGACTGTTAAGACTTGCCAATGAAAACAATGGGTCACACCCACAGAAATTTTTTAATTTTACAGTAAAGCTGACCTGTAAAGAGCGGTGACTGTTACACACAGCTTTGACTGTAATAACTAACCTGTGTGGCTTATTATTGTGGCTCTCATAATTCAATCACACTATCATAACTTCTTATTAGCGGAACAGTGTCATTAAAAGAGCTAACAGATTCTGATGGAGAGACTGTACCACCAGTTGCATTCACAATAGGAGCCTCTCTGTTTTCCTCCGGTATTCTTGCAGTTTGCATTTCCCGAACATTTCCCGAAGCAGTAGGAGGAGAATTTTCATGACCAGTCACTGCTGAACCTTGGTTTTCCAACGGGCTGCTTCTGCTACTTTGACTTTCATTGGTCAAGTCTCCCCTAGCTCCTGCACCCCTCGGGGGATGAGAACCACCACGACAAGGCTGAATAAAAGCAACATCAAAGATGTTACAAGCCCTTCCATCTGCTGCAAATTCATAAGGTGGTGGAGGAGAGGAGGGTTCATCAGTCAAGGGAGCATCATCAGCAGTAGAGATCCTAGCGCGACGTCTTCTTTGCCTACGTCTTCTAGGGCGTGCTGTTCGCTTTGTTCTCATCCGATCTATAATAAACCCAATGCAGACTACTGCCAAGGCAGTGCCAGTAACAGATAGAATCACAATAATGTAGTTCCGTATGTCATTATTTGTTTTGGTAGCAGGAACTGCAAGAGTCTTGCAGTGCCTTTCGTCTGAGGCGTCTGGACAGTCATTTGTGCCATCACATTTTAACTGGCACTGAATTTTCTTCCCATTCTTGCAAGTAAACAACAACTGGTTATGGAACACTTCACAGCCCTCAAAAGAGTTTTCTGGATCTACTCCATAATAACTTGCTAGGAAACCCTTGCCTTGATTTTGGAAACTTGTTTTAAGTCTGACAAGCATCTGTTTTCCACTCGATCGAACCATTGTTACAGGTCTGTTATTAACTGTACAGAATCTACCAAGGGATCTATCACTGTCCCCTGTTCCATCAAAAACTTCAACATAGTCATGACTGCAGTCTCTTTTGGTAGAAAATGTGGATGTCATAGAATCTACCTCAAAAAAATCAAACATCAGTGAGACTATTTTTCCTTCTGAGACGGTTATAAACCAGTTACAATTCCTATCAATTTTGCGAGGGCCAGGGTAGCCCGGTGAAGTGAACCTTCCATAATCACTTTCAAGAAAGCCTGTACAATGAGGCACTCGGGTATAATGAGCGAAAAATCCTCGGGAATTACTTTCTTTGTATGATTTAAACTCAACAGACATTGTGTTACCAGTAGATCGTATGGCATATTTTCCTGGCAGTCTTGTGGAACAAAAGTGACCAATTTCCGTGTTGTTGGTATTTAAACCATCCACAACTTTCACAAAATCAACATTACAGGGATACTTCCCATCCATGTTAAAGTCGTTGAAACGAAGCTCAATGACATAGTCCGTAGGCACCCTTATCTGCCATTGGCACGTAACATCTACTGGGAACCTTACAGGGTAATTTGGACTACTTAGGCTTGCACTGGATTCGGTGAAATACCCGCCACATGAGGAGTATATTGCACGAAAACCACCGCCAAATCCAGAAATGGTTCGATTGTCTGACTTAAATACAACACGAAGAATGTGACCTTCCGACGATATCTGTCTCGGGGGGATATTCTCTGCCCCAGCACAGTATCTACCAATTAATTCTAACGAATTTTCGTAAACTTCAACATAGTCTCCGCTGTTGTCACAGCCTGTTCGATTCGATTGTGTAGGTTCGAGATTGAAGATCTCAAAAACAAGTACTATCTTCTGAAACTCTGACATCTTTATAGTCCAGGAACACTCTTTGTCCGTGGGATACTGAAGAGGATAGTTTGGACTAAGAATTTGCCCTGAAGAATCAGTCTTGGTAATGCCACAGTTTATACTGCTCGCGTCGTAACTTGGTTTCGACAAAACTGGCGAAAGTAGCAATCCACAAATGACGAAAAAGCACCTTACAGAAGTCAAAAAATTTGTCCACCGACTTTCTGCCATATTCCTTTGATGAACAAAGGCTGTCCTCGCAACACAATAAGACGAAACGAAAGTGAGAGCCAAATATATAACCTTAAGGCACGTTTTTTTTTTTCCCAACACAAAAACACTGATCTCGCAGCTCTTTCACTTAAAAGGTATTTAAAGCTGAACTTTTGACTAAAACCGCTTTTCTCATGCCCTAGAACGTGACGAATGGACTCTATCCTCTTTTTGGTGAGGTCAGAATCCTTAATAGCTTCCCACTGTAAACTAAACACTCAAGTCAAGACAAGTAAATACCATGCCAAGCACATGCAAATATCCCTGCTTTCGCGTAACATGCCAACAATAGCAAAAGATCTGGGTAAGGTAACCGCACCTTCTTAATGTAAACGTCAAGTTCACTTCCGTTTTCGTGATCGACCGCATTTAACACATTCTATGATCACTTCCTTTCATTGACAACATTTCTTTCGCGATTTATCCAGTATCTTTCCGTTCTCATTTTATTAAAACAATAGCTTAGCAAATTTCTCCTTTTAATTTCTGCGTGGAAAAAACTCATAAGTTAAAAAAGGAATGAATTGAATTGACTCGACCGGCATG